GCGGCAGCGGCGGCGGCTGCAGCGAGTGCGTCGCCGGGTGACCCCGGCCCTCAGCCTGCGGCGTGCCGCGCGGGCCCCCCGCCTCAGATGGAGCACGCGGAGCAGGTAGGCGGCCCCCGATTGCATCCCGTCACACCCGCTCCCCAGTTCATCCCTTTTCACCTTTGGCCGCCTGAGAAGGCATAGTCCGATTGCATCCTGGCCGATGTTTGGTAGGGGTAAGGAGGAAACAATTTAGCAAAGTTCGGTTTTCAGTAAAGCAAATAGGTATTTTTAGAACTCGCTGAATGTGGCAGAATCCTCTGAACTGTGTGCTATATCTAATTAAAATAGAATTAGTTTAATTCTGCATTCTCTTTGTCCTATTCTTTTTGCCCGTAGCCCCTTTGGCCCTACTTGGAGTATCTCATGGTATGCTTGCAATCGATTTCAATAAATTAAGAATATTCAATACATTCAATAAATTAAGAATATTCCCAATTAGCAACCTCTGAAACAGTGAATGTCAAAAAATCATTATTTATTATTTTCCTCTTCCATTTTATTGAAATACTAAAGCGATAAGGCGATCTTCGAAGCACTGGTTCATTTGTCAGAGTGAAAGCGAAAAGCCTTAGGTGAGATGTAATCGGGATACTCCTTTAGGCCGAGGTGCGTTGTTGGAGAGTTGCTGCTTGGAGAGTGACATTTTGATATGTATCACATGAGAATTGTTCACTTCCATTCACGCAAACCGTATGAACACTATCTGTTGTTTTTTTATTAAAATTATAAGGAAAATATTATATCCTTACGAATTCTTCTTATACGTATAGACCTATATTTGCATTAATAAGCTAAAAAATAAAAATAAAATGTGATGTAAGTTTTCCGTCACTATTTAATGCCAATAACACCAGTTATGAGGTTTTCTGATTAACCATTCCTGTGTTCTGCAAGAAACCTTTTCTACTTATCTTTATTGTGAGATTAATTTTTAAATAATTGAAAATAAGTAAATTAACTTTTCAATGAGGTACTGCGAGATTGGAGAGTATGATACGGCCTTAAAAGCATGACAATGTGTTTTCGAACTAACGACTTGTTAGTAGCGACTTTGTTGCGTAAATCATGATAAAAAACCTCCTCTCAAGAAAACATGTTGATACATAAATTTTATTTATCAACATTTTTTGTTCTTTTTTACTTTTGTTCACTCCGTAAGAAGAGAAGTATGTAATCGTGCGCCGAAATACGGTGAATTTTTGGCACAAAAAAACTTATTGGCGGGCCCTGGTAACGAAAAAGTGGATAAATTCAGTTGCTAAATATAGCTTTGTGGGTCCTTGACACCGAAAAATCGATTGACGGCAAAATGTCTGTCCGTCGGACTGTGGTCATCTCTAGCACCCAAACCGTCCAGCCAAAATTGATATTCCCCGATACATCTTAACGAACTTAAGGTTTTGGGAGTTTCAAACAGATATTTTGATTTTTGAGAGTACTTACCATGAAACCTCAAAAACACTTTCTAAATTTTCTCAAAAAATAGCACCAATTGTTTAAAATTAAATTTTGCACTTTTGTGAGAATGCTTGTGAGAATGATGTAGGTATCACATTCGAGGAAATCCAGATTTTTCGAAATTTGCAAAAGTGCATTATTTTGGGGCGTCTTCCTACCACTACAATATTTAACACCGTATTTTCTGAAAGAAATAACTTCTTTAAAGATCGATCTTGAAGTATTATCATGTACAGTTTTTTTTAAATGTGAGTAGTTGTCGTACTTTTGCGCAAAGAATAGGCAATTGTTAATTTTTTAAAACACTTTTTCTCTAAAACGACACCAAATTTTTCTTTAAATCTTCTTCTCGTATGTGTCAAGAGGCAATAAGAATGTGGCGAATATCCTATTTGGGCGAACTCTATTTTCGTAAATTGCGAAAAGTGAACATTTTATAATTATAAAATTGAGGACTGATTTTTGCCTTAGACAAAATTTGTTTCAAAAACTCAGTTCTTTAAAAAAGGTTGCGTGCAGTTGTTTGAAATAAAAGGACTAGTTTTTGTATAATTTGTCCTAGAAATTAATATAAATTAAGAAAAACATTTTCTCAAAAACATTCCAAATTTTTAATTTTTTTCCACGCTTGGAAGAAATAACGCTTAAAAGAATGGCACGGGTTTCATTTTCGGTGAACTCTCTGAATTTTTGAAAAATGCAAATTTAATAATTATGTGAGTCAGTACGTTGTGGTAGCACCACTGGTTATTTCTTCTATCAACCTTCTCGTGTCAAGATTATCACCGCTATTAGGGTTCAGCGCTCTGATGGCCGACGCTCCTTGAACAGTCCAGCTAGTCAGTACGCACGGAAGGAAATTAGGAGAAAACGTCGGAGGTCTGTTGCACGTGTACCTGTGTTGGAAAATCTCGTCGTCGAGCCAGCGCGGGTCAACGCACCTTGAACGTCTGTGACGTATATACCACCGCACGACCCTAAACACAATGTCTACGCACCGCTCGGGTGCTACAGGTCTTATTCAAAGGCGTCGTAAAATATTAACGAGCTTAAACTCTAGACTAACCTTTTGCAGCAATAGCGGGTCATATACTGAGCAACGCTTGCAAAGTCTAATAATGTAATTGGATTGAAGAACTGTAATGGAAAGGGATGCAATCTACGTACGAGTAGAAGATAGCGTTCAGTACACAGTGTTTTACAAATTTGTTGGAAATGTTAATAATATTGTCGCCGTGATTCAGAAAATAATTTAGAAAATGTTCGGTATTTAACATTCACTCCATTTTTACCTCTAATTAAAAATTTAAGTAAAAATCCATAGTAATCTATTTTAAATACTGCATTCTGAGATATGATCTTCCCTTGCTCAGGTGACATACTCTTGAAATCTTCACCGCAAAATTTTATTTTTCACCCAAACATTACTTAATTCTGCACATTACTTCTTATTGAGGATGTATGTATTCTCCACCAAAGCAAGAATTATCTACTTTTTCGTTAAGTAGTGGAGGGTTAAATCGACAAATCAGGAATATTTTTATGACCATTAATGCTGTAATGAAAGCAGCAGTTTCATGATATGTGGCCAAGAAAAGGCAGGTACTAATTGAGAACCGTAGATATTTGCCGACTTTTCAGAAACCTTATTTGCATCGTCAGGGCTTACACAAAAATAAAAAAGAGTTAATTAAAGTAAACAAGTACATTGATGACTTACAACATGTAATCTATCACCCATTTGCGAGTAAAAGCCATACAATGCCTCAGTATGTCAGAAAGGTCTCATATATTAGGTCATATTCTCATAGGGACATATGGTGTAGGGAGCCATTCCCTTTGTGTCTGTTGAAGAAGAGTTTCAAAAAGGGCATTCATCATGTAAAGTTTTACTTTCTCCCTTACTATGTAGTTACGTAATAAAGATAATGTATTGTAATGCTGGTGAAAATCTCGGCGTTTTTGTGTCATAAAAATTCGTGTTACCGAAAAAGTTGCTGAATATTATTTAGAAGATGTATTTCTTAATTAATTAGAGGATCTAATCATTCTACTTTTTCGACGTCCTATTGCAGTATGGATTAAAGAGAGACCGTTGTATTTAATATTCGCTGAGGTTTGGCAAGCATGACACGTCATGCTGAGCGGGCCTGGAAATCGTTCTACAGAACCGGAGATGAAAAGTTCCCTTTCCCAAACTGGAATATGAATGCCGAGTCAAGAGAAACCCCACATGGCAACAATGAAATTCAAATATTCCGCTGAACACAATGCGAGAGATGAAACAGGAAATTAAGTTGAAAGCGCCACTGCTCCCTAAAAATTTTGAAAGACAGGCGTACTGCCGGGCCGTCTATACTGTTTTGAAAAAAAAACGACTTTTTATTTGGTTAACGGGAAACTACATGCGTTGTTGGAGAAACGGGAGGTTATTGATTCGAATATCATTATTTACTTGAAAACGGCAATACGAATCGTTTGCATCCCTTTCCGTTTCCCTTAAAATTGGTCTAAAACTTTAAAATTGAAATTTTGCTTTTTGTGTGTTTTTGGTAAACAATTCGTAGTGTCTTTAAAGGTCTCCATGTTTATCTAAATAATCTTTTGTAATCCTTCGCTATCTGAAAGCAATATGAAATATATAAATGTCTTTTGAAATTGTAAAGTGAAGACGTCTCTCTCTGAACGATGGGATACGTTTCGTGAGTCAAGTGCACTTATTAGTTGAAGAAAATGTTAATACATTTCTTCATTGACAATTGATATTGTTATATCCACATTATATGTGAAAATGAACTTACAGATACCCACTTATTTACAAGAAATTTTTTTACAAGATAAAAAGGTAATATTTTCAATGGCAATAAACGCCATAATATTTGAAACACTAATGCTTGTCTTGGTGGAAGCTAACATTCTTCTAATTCCATTACATATGAAAAATGAAACGAAATAGACATTCAAAGAAAATCATTTTTCTCCAATCTACCAAAAAAATCAGTTTATTTGGCAGATGAAAAAAGTTCATGTCTTGCTAATTCTTGCACTAAAGACCTGAAATAATTTTTATTAATGTCTTTTCAATATTCAGTGTTTAAGGGACTCAGCATTAAGAAGTTTTTTCAGCCATTATATAGAAGTTAAAGAAAGAGGATGTTAAAGGAAGTCGTAAAACATTGATTTCTTCAAGTTCTTTTATAATTTATTTTTTAACGGTATTGCAATAATTGAAATTTTTTACATTGGCTAATTAATGTATGTATGTCTAGAATTTTGGGTCGATAGTCCGGTCAGCTAACGGTGTTCCCCATGCCTGGGCCTAGTTTAATTCCCGCGCTTGGGGGTAAGAGCGACATGTGGCTAAAACAATGTATTCCCTTTACTGGAACTAGCAATATCAGCTGTCTGAGCTATCCATCGTCCAAGTAGACACTGGGACGATTTTAAAGAAATGCTGCAACTCTATGTTTGCCTAGACCGGGAATCAAACTCGACACCACACCACAGGCAGATAGTGCGCTTCCCACGAGCCTTCCTAGAGGCATTGATATAATAACTAACTTTAACTTACTGATGTAACTATATTTCTTATTATTATTATTTTTCTTCAGATATCGTTATTTATTCATAATGTAAATTATCAGTATCTTTACTACATTATATTTAAACATTTCTTCCTTCTTTGTTAGCTTTTTTCTTACGTGTTCGTAATATTTGTTTAGAACTACTGAACAATTATTACCAACTCGCCATCTTCAGTTCTTCCTTCCCAAACCCATTGTTATATTAAGTTCTTAGTCACCTCCTTCTTGTGTCGCGAAAATATGTAATAAGTCAGTAAGAGGTAATCATAAGTAACAATTTTGAATTATTCTAATTCAGTGACGCATTGACAGGGGGCTCATGAGCCTTCTGTCGTCTTTCACCCCTCCCCGTCAGATGCCAATAACACAAATTCTCAACTACAGTTTTTTTTCTTATTAAAAGTGAATTTATTGTGTTTATATTATTTTGTTGATACTATTTGAGTACCGCGACATCATTTTTTTCAATAGTATTTAAAAACAATTAAAAATATATTTTACGATTTTATTTGTAGGTCATGTTGGCTCTCTGTAGATATCTAACCAAGATTATATTGTCTGTATAACTTCTGTCGACCATCCTCAAAGGAATATCACACCTGAAACCCCGCCTGATTGTATTGTATTAACAAACCGCGGTTACCGCGGTATTTATCCTTCTGCTTTTCTTTCTCCTTTTTGCCTTCCACAGCCTTTCTATTAATATATTTCGCTTCAACACTTGACCAGTTCAACTCTATGTACGTTTTCTTGCCACTATTCTTGCTTATACT